TTGTAAAAAAAATACCTTGCCAGTTGAACTCATGAGGTTTTTTTTACAAGGGGCTTCACTGGACGAATGGGCGAGGAACGCAGCAGTGCTGAACAGGTAAGAGGCATGCCGCGCTTCTCCCCCTCCACCTGCCACCCCTCGCTAAAGGGACGTCGAGGAAGGGAAGAAGCCAGGCAGCTGTTACACTGGGGGTGGGGTGGGAGATGGCAGGCCAGCAACGCACCTCGCACCCCATTCCCTCTCATGCAAAAAGAACACCTCCCACCAAGCCCCAATGATAACGACAGGCCTGGCTGCTTCCCTTCCCCGCCATCCCTTTAGCGAGGGGTGGCAGGTGGAGGGGGAGAAGCGCGGCATGCCTCTTACCTGTTCAGCACTGCTGCGTTCCTCGCCCATTCGTCCAGTGAAGCCCCTTGTAAAAAAAACCTCACAAGTTGAACTCACGAGGTTTTTTTTTACAAGGACGAAAGGGCAAGGAGCACAGCAAAGCTGTCAGTCTCCCGTAGCACTAGGACACACGTCTCGCTTCTCCCCCCCATTGCTACTCCTCACTAAAGGGGCGTTGGGGAAGGGAAGCAGCCAGGCCTGTCGTTATCATTGGGGCTTGGTGGGAGGTGTTCTTTTTGTGTGAGAGGGAATGGGGTGCGAGGTGCGTTGCTGGCCTGCCACCTCCCACCCCACCCCCAATGTAATAGCTGCCTGGCTTCTTCCCTTCCTCAATGTCGTTTTAGCGAGGGGTGAGGGGGAGAAGCGAGACACGCATCCTAGCGTGGAATGGGACTGTTTTCCTCCTGCCCTTTGCCCGCCTATTTCGCTCCCAGGGTTTCTCCCCCAGTCATCCACCTCTTATCACTTTGCCTCCGTTGTGAGGCACCTGGCTGTTTGTCCTCTCTTCTGTCCCCAGCCCTTCCTCACGGGCCTTTGGGAGAGATACTCTTCACCCTGGCCTTTTGGGCTCAAGAGACAGTTAGCTGCCAGCCAATCGGAGGAAGGGAAGGGAGAAAGAGAGAGGCATGGAGGGATAAAGTGTTTTGTGTCGTGTTTCCAGTTGCCTCGGGTCCGAGCTAGAAAATCTAATAAATCCTTTGCATTCCCCCCACCCCAAAATACTGGGGAATAGCTAATAAACCCTTTGCAATCCCCCCACCCCCAAATGCTGGGGAATAGCTAATAAATCCTTTGCAAAGGGGCCCTCGCTAAAGACGCGGCAGGGAAGAGAACCAGGCAGGCTGCCTTTACCATTGGGGCGAGGTGGGGGTGTTGGGCCACAAGGCGCACCTCTTACCTTTCCAGGTCCGCCGTGTTCCTCGCCCTTTTGTCCAGTGGATCCCCTTGTAAAAAAAACCTCATGAATTCAACTCATGAGGTTTTTTTTACAAGGGGCTTCAATAAACGGAAGGGCGAGGAACGCAGTGGAGCTATCAGTCTGGTAGCGCTAGGATGCGCGCCTTGCTTCTTCCCCCCCCCCTACCTGCCACCCCTCGCTAAAGGGGCAGCGGGGAAGGGAACCAGGCAGGCTGCCTTTACCATTGGGGTGGGGTGGGCGGTGTTTTTTTGTGCGAGAGGGAACAGGCAGGAGGGGGAGATTGCATTGCTGGCCTGCCGTTCTTTTTGCAGCAGGCTCTTTGCATGGGAGGGAATGGAGTGTGAAGTACTTTGAATAGAGGTCCAAAAAAAGCACCTAGGTCCTATACAGAAATTCCAGTTTGTAAAACGTACGTTATGATACTTTCAGTCTGTTGCACAATCCCATCATCCATATAATATTATTGTGTACAAAAGCAGATGACAGTTAGTTTTAGTAACTAAAGTACTATTGTTTCCACAATATCAAGCAATCTATTAACTGTGAACAAAGATTATACTTTTCACACAACATAGATATTGAACCCTTTACAGTTAATAATTTGTGGAAAAGTAACTTGAAAATTCTGATATATTTTCCATAGATGTGTTCCTCCCTGAGAAAGCTCAAGATTTCAAAAGGTGAGACATTTAAGCAACTTGTGGTTTTGGAAATGTTCGTTTCCACAGCAACCAGCATCATTTTCTTTATATAGCATTATAAACAGATGGCAAAAAGAATGCCTGTGTTTCTTTGCCAGCATGTCAATAAAAACTTTAGTACTATAGTACTGTATATTTGAATTATTTAACAATCCAGGTATACTACCCACAGAACTTACTATTGCAGTCAAATGTTAGTAAATTTTCATTCTCTCACTATACATTTTGTTTCTTAGGTAATCTTTTGTTAATTAGCTATCTTTTGTTAAATTCCTTCTGACACCCACATTTTCAAAATACAGTGTTTTAAGACAAAAGAATGAATCTTTTTCAGGAGACCTATAAAAACCTGAATGGAACACTTAATGAAATGAGGAAGGACGTTAGTAACTTATCTGATATGACTCTAAGATGGAGATAGCATCCATGCCTGGGTTGACACTGTCCGTGCTCTGACTGGACTGAGTCTGATTGCTAATTAATTAACCCCCTATATAACCCGCCTCCATGAGTATACCACCCTGTTTCTGGCGAAGAGGAAAAAAGACAGACTCCACATGGTATCCAAACAAGATCAAATTTAGTGATTCATAAAAAAAGGTAGCCAAAAGAACATCATCAACCTGGCGAGATAAACTTCTCAGAACAGAAAAACAGTCCTGTAGAAACAAGGAACAGTCAAATCCTGGGCTGGGGCGGGATGCTATCTCCATCTTATTAGAAGAGGCGTATCAGGTAAGTTACCAATGTCCTTTCTCAATAAGGGTGGAGGTAGCATCCATGCATGGGACATACACAAGCCGTACCATCCTCAAGGGTGGGCAATTGACTGTTCCGAAACTGACCTGCCCAACCGAACGGCCTGCAGAACTCATCTGCCAAAGGAAGCGTCTGCAAATGCGAACTTATCAAGCTTGTAATTGTGGATGAAAGGGAACGGAGAGGCCCACATAGCAACCTTTGCAAATTTCCTCCAGGGAAGCC